TGAGTGTTTGCGTGTATGTCAGCCTCGCTATCTATCTATCTCTCCTCTCTCTCTATCTATCTATCTATCTATCTATCTATCTCTCTCTCTCTCTCTCTCTCTATCTCTCTCTCTCTCTCTTTCTCTCTCTCTCTTAGCTTGATCTGTATTGTCTCCTTTTTCTCTTCCACCCTACAACCTACTTTCTCCCTTCCCCCCTCGCCCCCTCCACCTTTTTTTTCTCCGTTCCCCCCTCCTCCCCGCCCCCCCCCCCTGACTTGTCCCCTGCTCCCTATCTCAGTTTTCCTTTTCCCCCTTTCTCCTTATCCTTTTCCCTCCACCTCCTCTTCCATTCCCTTTTGTTATGTATCCCCGTCTCCTTACCCTTCTCCTCACCCCCCCCCTCCTTCTTCCTTTGCTCCTTCGAAAGAGGAAGAGGAGGGAGAGGGGAGGAGAGAGAAGGCATAAGGAAGAGAGGGGGAGAGAGAGGTGATGAAGAAGAGGAGGAAGAGAGGAGGAAATAGAAAGAATGAGGAAGAGGAGAAAAGGGAAGAGGAAATGAAATGGTGAAATTAGAAAGAAGGGGAGCCGGAAGATGGGAGAAGAAAGAAGGAATGAGAGGAAGACAGAGGAGAAGAGAAAGAGAGAGAAGAGAGAAGCAAAAATTAAGACGAGGAAGAGACGAGAAGACAGAAGGAATGTGGAACAGAAAAGAGAAAAGAAGGAAAAGGAGAAAGAAAGAAGAAACGGCCGAAAGGAGACGAAGAGGGAAAAGCAGAAGAATGAGAATAAGATTTAAATACTAAAAAAGAATAAAAATAAAATAAAGATTAAGAAGGAGGAAGGGAGAAACAGAGGGAAAAGGATGTGTTTGGAAAAAAACGAAAGAAAGAGGAGGAAGAAAGAGAGAAGAAATAAAGGCATGAAACATAGAAGACAATTTTTTTTTCTTAAGAGGGTAACAAAAAACAAACGATATAACAAAAAAATAGGATTAGCAGAAAGTTTATTAAGAGAAAGAGAGAGCAAGAAAAAAGAGAGAATGAGAGCAAAAAATCAGAAAAGTAAAAAATAATAACAACAAAATAAGAAAAGAAACAATAACGAAGACAAAAACAATCAAACAAAAGTTCCAAAATACATAAACAAACAAACAAATAACAGCAAGATCTTTTTCTTTCTTTCTTAATAGGAGAAAACAAACAAACTCACAAGCGTTAAATATTCTTGGTTGGAGGGGTAACTATTCCTTTTTTTTCCTTTCCGTTTTCTTTCTCTCAAGAGTAAAAACAATCATGAAGGCAAACAAGACGTGTTTACAGCCTCTCAGAGCGGGGGAAAAAAGAAAACAAGAGGCGGAGTTATTTGTTTGGCAAAGTGGCACAACTTGTTGAATATTTTGTTGTTTTTGTTGTTTCTGTTTTCGTTTTCTTCTTCGTTTTTTTTTCTTTTTTCTTTTTTTTTTGGGGGGGGTAGAGAGAGGCCCAGTTTGTTTCTTTTTTGTGTTTGTTTGATTTGTTTTATTGTTTTGTTTTGGTAAAGAGGGACAACTTGTTGAATGCTCTGTTGTTTTTGTTTTCGTTTCTTGTTGTTGTTTTGGGGAGAAGAGGCCCAGTTTGTGTTTGTTTGATTTGTTTCCTTGTTTTGATTTGGTAAAGAGGGACGTCTTGTTTAATATTCTGTTGTTTTTATTGTTTTTGTTTTCGTTTTTTTTTGGGGGGGGG